AGATATAGCTATTGAATTCACAGTAGGCTTTCTAATATTGGTATTTTCAATATGAAAATACATTTTTGTGAACAAAGTCTATGTTTCTTAAACGATCTTAATGAAATTAAGATTATTGAGATAAAATTATTTATCAATTGTATCTGTACAATTGAGTCTTTTACTGCTATCGCAAATTGATTCTAATCGATATTCGCGATTCCTGCTCAGTTATCTATAAAATTAAATAAACTTCATCTGCCTATGGTATACGAGAACTTGAATACGAATATGCCAAATGTGAAGTGCATAATAGAATAGATCGACTCCACTTTTGAGATGAGATGAGATGAGATCGGAGATGTTTCCTCTGCCTGTTACACACTTTTGCACAACTTAATTAAACCCATTTTTCAATTTGTAATTGCCAATTAGCTGATCTGCATTTTGTGTAGCCACCAAGTAGCCCTCGCATTTGGCAACCCTGGCCATGCAACCATACAACTATACAGCAATCATCAACATCAACATGAGGCATCGGGCATCGGGCATCGGGTATCGGGGGCCCCCGTTTTACAAGCGAGTGAAGAAAATGTAGCAGCAAAATTCCGAGCAACGTTTCGTGGCCGATAGTCGTCGGTCGCACTCTGTTTTTGTTGTAGGTTTTTCAGAATTGCATTTTTATTGTCTGCCACTTTGTTGTTACTACCACTGTGTGTCGAGTTGTTGTTGCTGTTGCTGTTGTTGTTGTATAAATAAACCATATGGTTAAAAGCGTAGCATATTCTACGACCAGGCTTTTTCTTCTGTTGGTTTTTTGTGTTTCTGCTTCTTTTTCTTCGCTTTTCTTGCGTTGCCCGTCTGTCATCGTTGTTGTTGTTGTTGTTGTTCTCTTCGACTTGGTGGTTACCTCGTGTAGTCTTCATTGTTGTTGTTGTCGTAGCTTGGATGTGGCTATGAAGTTTCTGCCCCAGTGCGTTTGTAAATGTTTATCAAAATGTCTTGTGCCGTTCTCTAAGTTCTTACCACCTCCCCCTCTGACCCTCTCTGTATACCTGTGTGTTTGTTTGCTGTTAGTGTTGTTGTTGTTGTTACTACTACTGCTTTTTTTTTGTTACATTTGAAATGATGGTCGTCGCACGATCATTAACCGCAAAACATTGCTCTTGTGGTATGTTGGGCTGGTTGCTCTTTCTATCCTCAACTCGGCAACATGTTGTCTGCCTGCCTGCCTGCCTCACTCCTTGCCGCTTTCCGCCCTGCATCCCCTTTGCTTTGACTGTTGACTGTTTGTTTGGTTAGCGAATTCTTGGAAGTCAGGGCGCAAAATATGTCGCACCACACACATAATGCAGAAATTGATTTGGTTGCAGTGTGAACCCAAAACAAAATGATTATAAAAAGCGCTGAACAACAAGTCCTAAAATAATTATTTTAATACAAGTCTAGCTAATGTATCTTAATCGATTTTATCTGAATAAAACAGTATTAATTTTGTATAGAAAGTAGACCGATTATAATGTATCAAGAGTGTTACATAGGAGTATATAAAATATTCACATATCGAGATTAAATATCGAAAACTATAATCAATAAAATTTATAAGTGTAAAAATTTTACAAATTATTAATCAATCCATTCTTAAATATATATTTGTAACCAGAACCCATTAAGAATGGAAAAACTGGTAGTTCAGCATCAATTTTATAGCTGTCTGGACTAGAGCATTCCAGCTTTTGGTCTGATCCTTTAATTCAACGGAATACTCTTAATAGAACCAGCCTGTATCTAGTGTGTATCTCATGTCTTTAGTTCCAGCTACTTGCTTCAATTGTTCAAAAATAAATCATCATCTTATAGAGCTTCCGCCGTTCTTTTAGGTGGCGCCGCTGTCACGAAATCTCTTTCGCATGTCGCACAATTTTCACCAGACAGTTGGCAGACAACAAGACAAAAAGCAAACGTGGAGGGAGAAAAGCGACTCAACATCAATAAAAGCGACGCTACAGATATAAAAAACAAACGCACAAGGCTACACACACACATAAACAACACATACATAAACAACATACACATGAACAACACACACATAAACAACACACGCATACACACAGCGAGAATCTCTCCAGTTTTAATCGATCGATTTTATGCGCTGTGTGACATGGCTGTAAATCACACGCCGCTTTTGTTGTATCCATGAGATACTTTGGGGGGCAAACAGCGTAGATACATTTGCTCGGACAAGTCAAATGCTGGCCAACTAATTGCTAAATTAAAAGCACATTAAGGTTTTTCATTTTTCTCTTATTTTTTTCAATCAAAAAATTAACACCTCCCCACGGACAAAATCAACTGAGAAATGTTAAGCTGTGAAAATGCATTTGAAATGCGACTTGCGCCACACAATTAACGAACGTTGAAGTTGCACCAGCCAAAAAATAAAAAATTAATGTAAACAATTGAATGTTGTTGTTGCAGGTATTTTTATTAAGTTGTTGGTGCTCCTGGTGATATTACCTATTAATGAGCATTTGAGTTTTAGATTGTGAAAGTGCCAGAGTCTATTGATCTCAGTGTGAGTTCATTAAGACCCCAAACATATTAATTTTTGGCCAATTAAGCCAGTAATTTAGTATGATTGATTAAGATGAGATGTGCCAAATTTAAATGTGGGAAAGTTCATAAAATTAACTTTACTCTACTCTCATTAATTTTGTAACTTAAATAAAGTAATATTCTAGAGATTTATCAACAAAATTGGTTCAGTTTTCCACAAATTCAAAGGATATTGTGAGCCGTTTTTACTGGGTAGAGTGCTCAACAACAACCTGCTCAAAAAAAAAGGATTGAATTCATTCAGAGATTGCCGCACATTCCAAGAAACATATCGTTGAAAGATATTGCCACAGATGCTGTTGCAAGAGGAGAGTATCATTAAATGTTGCCACAACAACTGCATTTAATCACAGGTCTGCCAAGGGCTTTGGATATATATGTTTCAATAAATTCCAGCAAATCAAAACATATGCACACCCATACATACATATGTATGCAAGACACATGGGTCTTGGCCAAGAGCACGCGTAATGGTCGAAATGAATGCGCAAATGCGGGCTGAAAATGATGAGGACGACGTCGGTTACGTACGTCTGATGGTCAGCCAGTCAGCCTTGCCCCTAGCAGCCGCTACAAGGAGCAGATATCCAACCTGAAGACGTTATGGTTCATAAAGCAAAAAATAAAAATAAAAAAAAGTAAACGAAACGAAACAATGAATAACAGCAGAACACAGCGCAAACGAGCGGGCAGAAAAAGAAGCAGAGAAAAAAAACGCGACCAAGCAACAGCCGCCCAAACATTGGAAAAACATCTGCTGCCTGCCACAGTTGATGAACTCGATTCGGTTTACTCTCAATCTCTTTCTATCTCTCTTTCACTCTCTCCCTCTCTCTCTGTCTGTTGTCCATTCTGGCAACTGCTGTCTCGCTTGACTGTTGCGCAGGCGCGACAGCAAGTACCCGAGAGTATCGAGTACCGGAGAGTATCGAGTACTGAGTGTAGCGAGAGTAACTGCACTCAGAAAAATATGTGCTTAGGAAAGGAATTGAAAAGTTCTGACATTTTGATCTGGACGAAAACCAGCTTTATTGCCAAAATCTCTAGTTGCCTTGATTATTTTTTATTATATCATAAATTTATTTATCAAAAACTAATTAAGAAACTTTGTTGGACACAAGTATTTGTCAACTTTTAGCTGTTTTTTGTTTTTATTTTTTGCGTAAATAATTTCTAAGAAATTGTAATTATCTACGATTTTTTATTTGCCGTTTTTGTGCGCGTGTACAATTGGCAGACAATTGCCTACTCCTCCACCTACTTCTGCCCTCACTTCCTCCCTGTCTCTACCTCTCCCACTCCCTCTCCCTTTCCCTGTTGATCGACTCCTCCACATACTTTTACTCCACGCTGCTGCTGCTGCTGCCCCTCTTCTGCAGCCTGCTGCGCGTCAATGTTTTCCATTTATAATTCTCATGCCTCGCTGCAATGCCTTTGCCTTTGCCCCTACCACTGCCCCTGCCCCTGCCTGCCTATACCCTGCCCACCTCTCTCTCTCTCTCTGTGTCTTTTTTAATTTGGTTCACAAAATACCGCGCGTTGTTGTTGAAATTCTTTAGCAATCGCCTCGTTTCGTCTCAGTTGCCCTGCTCTGCTCTCCAACTATCTCGCTCTCCTTCGCTCTCGCTCTCTGTGCGCTACCCTACCACTTAAAAGACTCGAGCTGCTGCTGCTGCCGCTGTTTCTTCAGCAGCACCGTCTGGTCGGTCGGCTTGTCGGCTCGATTTTTGACAGGTGGTGCAGTTTGTATTCAATTTCTTTTGGGCCGTCGTCGTCGCCGGCGACGACTTTTGCTCTTGGGCTCTTGTGTTGAGTTTTTTGGGTTCTCTTCTGCTGCTGCTGCTGCTTCTTGTGCGTTTCTTATTCTTTTTTTGGAATGTATTTTTGCCTATTCATAAAACAGCAAATGAGTTCAGACAGCCGACAGCTAACAAAAGATTACCCAAAGAACAGGCAAACACACACACAGCTATACACACACACACACAGACAGACACACGCACACACAGCGCATGCTCGAAGGATGCTGAACACAGGCTCTGAACTCAATTCTCAGTTGAGTTGTGAATTCAGTTCAATGCACTTTACTAAATTAGTTTTTATATACCCTGTCTTATTAGTGGGGTATGTGAAGGTATTTGAGAGAGAAAGCACTTAATTATATTTATCATGCTTTGATTGATTTAGTTTTCCCAAAACAACTATAAGTTCAAATCAATCATATTTATCAAAATTGGAAAGAGCAGCATTAATGTCCATGTGAATGCTTTGAGAAAGCAGCATTATAATAAGTATGCATATTTATAGGGTATCTTAAAGTCATGCTAAGTAAACATAAATGCCATTCATACAATTTAAAACGCACGCACATGAAACTAATTGGATTCTCTACTTTACTTTTTCAGTTGTGTTGTGGTTTGCCAGGATGCAGAAGAGGCGGCATTAGCCAGGAGCAGCAACAGCTAAGCAACGAGGACGGGAAGCGAGAAGGAAGGAGCGAAGGAGTGAGTGTGTTATCCTAGAGGCGAGTCTAGATTGCAACAAGAAGAACAACATGTCACAGCAAGTGTATTCGGCGCATCCAGCGCTGGCCGCTGAGCAGCTGGCAGCGCCAAGCAGCTCCAACAACAACAGCAGCAGCAACAACGTCGGCAGCAGCAGCAGGCGGAAGACCACGCCCAAAAAGTATACATTAAGCAGAAGCTGTGCGGCGCTAGCAGCGGCAGCTGCAGCTAAAGCAACAACAACAGCAACAACAACAGAAACAGCAACAACAGCGACAGCAGCAGCAACAACAGCGGCAACGAGTGGCAAGGAGTCGTGCAACACGCGCAAAACGCAACCAGCGCGAACAAACTTGGCTGCTGTGGATGATGATGATGACATCGAGTGCGAAGATGTGGACGATGTCAACTTTGGCCAACAGCAGCAGCAACAGCAGCAGCAGAGGCAACCAACCAAAGACAATGGCTACGATGAGACGGATCATGTGCAGCTGCGTCACAAGCGGCACAGTCGACAAATGTCAGATAGAGGCGGCGGCGGCCGAGCGGGTGGAGTGGGTGGTTTGGCTGGCACGGCGACAGGTGGTTCAATGAGCGATTTGAGCAGCGTGATTAGCTCACCATCGGCCAGCACTGTTTCGTCGCCGCTGTCGACGCCGACGCGAACGGCGCCATTGCAGCTACAATTGCAGCACAGCCATCAGCATCAGCATCATCATTGTTGCCACAAGCAGTCAAAAGCTGCAGCGTCGGCCGTATCACACCACCAGCCACAAAAACATCAAAATCAACAGCACCAGCAGCAAAATCAGCAGCAGCAACAGCACCAACACCATCATCATCATCATCAAAATCATCATGCGGCTGCTGCTGCTATTGCTGCCTCTGCCGCAGCCGCTGCAGCGGGCTGTGGCGCCAACTCCTCGTCAGCCTGCAAGAGCAAGAAACTTGATCCGCGCTTCAGTCCGTCACCGTATCGCCAGCTTTTGCCCATTGCCCTGTGCCTGCTCTCGTTTGCGCTCGTCTTTGCCACGTTAATTGTTTACATGGACACGACAGGTGAGAAAACTGAAAAAAAAAGCAAACGAAAAAATTAAGAAAAAAATATTTTAAAAACGCTCTAAGCACACATGCAAATGCCGCCCCCTGCCAACGTCTTCCCCCCACTGGGGTATTTTGAATATTTGTCATCATATGCATAGGGCAAGCAGCAATATATATATATATACATGTATATATATATTCCTTATCACCATCAACAGCTAATATATATCAAATATAGCCCTGACCCATTTGAACTAATCTGCCTGAGAAGCTTTTCCTAATGAATTTTACACAAATGGTAATTTGTTGTTGGTCAGATCAGATCAGATCGAACTGAGAATAGTTTAGAATATAGTCTAAAGTTATCACACGAAAATTAAGTCTTAGTCTAAAATATACATTTGTAGGAACTTTACTTTACCATTAGTTTAATTATGCTATTCAAAGTATATTTTTCATATGATTTATGTTAAAACAAACTTAACTCAGCTGCCACATGCCACATTTGTTATATTCATGTCAACTAGGGTATTTTATCTTCGGCACTCTTCGCTGCATATATTATTCATATAAATTTGATATCTTTGGCATATGTCTCATCTGTTTATTTTCTGCCATTTTTTTTCTTCATTTAAATTTCTTTTTTGTAAGTTTTTTTTTTTTGTATACTTCCACCGGATGTAGGCTGTGTTTGCCTTTGGCTGCCTGCTGTCCTTTCCTGGGCACACTTCTCAGATTAGTTTACGCATCCTTCTAACTAGCCGGACGAGCCGAGCTCTCGTTGCCCACATACCTCATACGTGACCTGCTTAGTTGCTTGTCAGCGCATCTTTTGTCAATAGATCTTTCTTCTTTCTTTTTTTTTTTGTTTTTTTTGTTGTGTGTTTTCTGTTTTGGCTCCTTTTTTGCCTCGTTATTTCTTTGGCTTGGCGCAGTGGCGCTTCCTGTCAACAACAACAACAGCAACAAAAACAAACAAGCAAACACCAGCAGCAGCAGCAGCAAAGTTTGCCGATGACGTCTCACTTGGCAACAGCAGCTGCTGTCATAATGTCAGCGGCGGGGCAAGGCGACACGTGCCGCCTACAAAGGCGACACCGCTGCAAACGCCAAAAGAATTTCTAATTTGCCATTTGATGAGTGGCAGTGGCCCCAAACAGATATGGCCAACAGCAACTGCATCTACAACAGCGACAACAACAGCCACTTACCAACTGCCATGGGGCACAAAGTGTCGCCGAAGTGTTGCAAGTTTGAGCAGCACAAAAGTGCATGCCACGCAGATACCTTTTAATTTGATTGCAAAAGTTTGGCATACGTTAATGAATATGTCAAGTTTAAATAAACTGGCTTTGTTGTAAGACAGGAACAGCTGCAAAGGCAGCTATTGAAACTTAACAGAAATTTACAACAGTTGGTTGGTCTTCAAACGCATTAAAGAAGTCACAAGTTCTTTCGCTAAAGAGTGTCAAACCGAAACGGATTTAGGTTATAATTCCGATTCTGGTACCAACAGTTTAAAAAATCCGGTTTTTTTTATTTTAAAATTTTGTTTAGAAGGTGTATAAAGGTATGCGGTTCCGATTCCGGTTTCAGTTTGTGAAGCCGTTTTAATTGTATTCGGACTATATTTTTTTGTGGCAAAGCTTTAATAATATTAGAATGAAATTATAATTTCTTAACAAATATTTTAATCAATTTAATGCGTAGAAATGCATTTGGTTTTTAAATTTAAATGTAATATTGCTAATGCTATTAGAGATATGAAATTTAGTAAGTAGCTTACAACATTTGCCCGATTCATACAATATCATATCCGTTGATAAGTGATCGTGTCGTGTAATTAAGAGAAATGTACTTGCTTTAATTGAGAGACGAGAGAAACCTTGTCTTAATTGATACACACCTCCCTCACCACTCTTCTCAGCTAGTTAGTCGTTTAGTGCAAGCATAGAAACCTTGTTAGTTGATTTACTTAGTTACTTATAATGCGATGACTCATCGCTCGCTGATTTGCCCACATGTATATATACATAAGTGGATTTAGTTACAACTGGACTATGACTATGACTATGTCATCCATACAAATTATATGTCCCAGACACCATGATCAGCCAGTCTCGTCGTCGTAGTCGTAGTCGGATGAGGCAATTTTCTTTTAATTCGCTCAAATATTTTGTTATTGCGAGGCGACGTCGCCGATTCCAATGTGGAATATGTGCATATAGTACGACGATGTGGTTATATATAGGCGAAAATAAATTTGCTTAATTTGTGGCCCTGTGTGTTTCTCAATGAAAGCGGACAAGCGAAATTGTTGTTGCTGTTGCAACACTGAGCAACAGAGGCCTTTTCTTTGCCCTTCTTCTTCTTGTTCGCCAAGTGGCTACGATTTGTGGTGGTGGTGTAAATGTGCCTGTTGGATCATCAGCGCTGACTCATACCCCTTTCTAAATGACTAAGGGCGAACTACGTCTGCTTGGCGGCTGCTTGATTGCTTGCTTAAACGCTCCTCTTTCTTTCTACTCCAATGAGACCCAAAAAAATCAATGGCAATCCATTGTGCGTGTGTGTGTGTGTGTGCATGTGTGTGCGTGTGTGTGTGTGTGCAGCTGTGAAGCAACACTTAATCTCATTGCACAGTGACTCAAAGCACATTGAACAATTGAGTAATTATTTAGTATATCAAAATATATACTTAAAGCAAGCCACTCTCTAAAGGAAACGAAAAACGGATTTAATATGCATATAGTATTAAAACATTAATCACACAAATCCTTAAAAAATAATCATGAACAGTAAAACTTTCTTTTCATACGCTAAAATAAAATAATAAAGCAAGGCAAAAGTTACGCTCACCACTAAAATAAACACCGATTGGGCAATTAGTTTTTGCTTTACTTGAAATTAAAATTAATCCAAGAACTTAAACTTAACAGTTTTATTAACTTACCATTGAAAAATGTGAAAGATTGTATAAAGAAGTTGTGAAAAATATATCAAGGGCCGAAGCGAACAAGGCCGATATGTTGTTTAGTAGTTTAAATACGAATTTTGATAAGATCTCGACAAGCGCTGTCTTATTACATGTTATTTTTATGTTTGTTCATTATTTAATACGTTTACTCCACTGTGCGTTAATGGATAAGGAGTGCATTGTAAATTCCGTTGAAGTACAAGTAATTTTCTCTGCTTACTGCCGTTCCTTGTCGTTGTTGTTGTTGTTGTTGTCGTTGCTGTGAGCTTCCTTTGCATGAAACGATTCCTTCCGCCTACCGCCTTTGTCTTACGAAATGAAATATATGCAAATTGTGCAGTGAATTAAAAGTCGATAAAGACAGAGTGCCAACTTGCAGTAAACAGACTGTCTGTCAGTCACTCAGTCAGTCTGTGTGTCTGCCATTCAGTCAGTTATTCAATCAGTCAGCTGTTTGCCACCCACTTTTTAGTGTCGGCTGCTGTTTTGCTAGATCTGATGTTTTTTTTTTTTTTTTTTGGTTTTTGGCTGTCGCCACGTAGACTAGACGGGGCTTGGCTTCGCTGCGCTGCGCTGTTGGGCGTGGTAGTTGCCACTTGGCTTGCAACAGCTTGACAGCTTGTGGCTTTTGGCTGGACGGTTGGATGGCTGGCTGGCTGGCAGCTCCAGTTTTATGGGACTCCATTGATGGCTCTATTAGGTTTATACGAGCATACGGATTCATAAACCATAATAATATAAATGAGCACGCTGTGCATAAATTAGATGCGCCACAGCAACAAAAAGCCGCTAAGTCACATCAATTTCGAACACGTTCCGCCGTGTGGCACAAAAGGTTGCTTGACTGCGGCTGGTGCTTCGAAAATTCTTCAAATCATTCCAGATCAAAACATAAATATTGTGAACCCCAAACAGCGCTTATTAAAGTGACAAATTCTTGTGGCGGCTTCCCAACGTCTCTTGGCATTTAGTTTTGTTTAGTCTTTGGCTTCTCATTCATACCAAAAATGTAACCTCGACCATGACTTTACAGAATGAAATTCCAAAACTAACCATCGGCTTTTTTTTCTCTACTTTTCTGCTTTTCGTTTTGGTCTTCTTTATTTTTTATTTTTATGCTTGCCTACGCTCTTCTTTTTCTTTTTTTTTTTTGTTACAACATTTCTCTTCTGGCGTCCTCGGCCTCTTTTTATGGCCGGTCACACAAACCAAACCAAACCAATCCAATCCAATCCACAATCCCCCAGCTCGTTGTAAATGTCACGTTTCAGCTTTGAGACGCTACTTGATCATGATCCATCTAGATGATAATGATGATAAAATGATGAGTGTCGGTGCGGTTCAATGAAAGTTACAAAACTCTTTTCGTTCTTTTGTTTTGCATTTCTGTACTATCTGTGACTATCTTATCGTTATCTTTCACAAACCTTGAGCAATAAAAGCTTATTTCTATTTTTAATATTATGGCAAACAAATAGATAATTGAGTTTGCACAAAGTGCGCTCTTAGTCATCCATTGAAAGAATGCACCACTTAATCTAGACTATTTTGCAACTTTCTTTGGACAATAAACATTCCTTTCTATACAATCTGTCATTCTGCTCGGTATTGTTTTCTGATAAGAGGTTGTTAATTACAGTCAGGTATTTTTCTTATTAACACAATCTGTGGCAATAAGTTTAAATAGCCTACAATTGTTGTTTGTATTTGGTGTTGGATGTCATTTATTAGTATACGCTTTGAAAGCTGAATCATTTAAAATGGGAGAAATATCGTTCGTATGAACAAGTCGATCTCTAAGAATAAGAGAATGGTATACAAGTTCTCTTTTTTTTATATGTTTATTAAATATACAGGGAGCTAAAGAACTTAAAGTTAACTTAAGTTGTCTTGATTGCAGTGCTTCACCACAAATATACCCTTTGCTGCCTCAGTCTCCCTCTGTTTCGCTCATTTCTCTGCTCCTATTTGATTTGGCCATAATCCACACATAGCCTACTTATCAACACCTTTGGTGTCACCTTTAGATTGAGTTGCC